CTCACCTCCACCTCTACCATATTACATTCTCACGCTAATCATAAATTTATTTAAAAATGTTTCAAATTGGAGTAAAAAAAATATATATGACTTTATAAGCCCATCCATTGGGCATTTATAGAAAGAAAATGATTTTTTTTTTTTTTGCAAAATTTTTAAATAGATGATTAAAAACAAATATAGAAAGAAAGTAACTACACAGACACATTGAAACTTAATTAAAATAAATTGGTTAAGTAGTTTTTTTTTAACTAGAATTAAAATCTCTTAATTTAAAAAAAATCTTCTCATCACTATGATCTGGAAGAAATAATCGGAGAAAGTTTTGACACCTTATAATAAAAAATAAAAAAACTCTTTTCAAGTCTTTTGTCATTTAATTTCATTACTTTATATATATGGTATATAATTATTGATTATAAAAATATAAAAATATAGTTATATAAATAATAAAAACAAATTGAATTTTACATGTTTTATATATATTTGTTAGAGAAAAAAAAATCAAATTTCCGCGTCATAATTGAACCTTTTTGAATAAGTGTGTGGGTCCCCACCGAGGAGACAAGACAACATTGATGGGCACGAAGCTGTCAAGCAAAGGAAAGCTTGTATATATGTGCAGGGTGGGGCCTACTAGAGGTAATGATACGTTAATGATAGAAAGAAAGAGGAGAGAGAAAGATGTTATAAGACTGTCAGAGTGTTGAAGAAAGGAACGGAGAGGACAGCTCACACGACCGTTTACTGACTCCCTGAGTTGGTTTGACCTCTGAACCCTTCGAACTTTTAATAAAGAAGTTTTGCTATATAAGGTGAAGGAGTAATTTACTCTCCTTTACAATTTTTGTGGATAATTTTATAATTTTTATAAATATTTTTATTATTTTTGTAGTAAGGGACAGAATCAAAATTTTATTTTGAGAAGGGTTAAAAACAACATAGACAAAAATTAAATTAAATTTATTTTAATTTATTCACCGATCATTGTCAAAAATAAATTTTTATTTATAAAAAACTTATTAAATTTAATTTTTATGCAATGACATCGAAAAATTATTTTTGAGTACAAAACTCAAAAGTGGTTCATGCCATAATTAAAATTCATTCGTAATAATCTCTTTTTTTTTCTTGTTTATAATGTAACTTTATGTTGATAAATAAATCAAGATCGTAAATAATAGTTTCATATGATACCATAATAAGAATGAATTATAAGTCAACCAACTGTTTTTTGGTATAAATCATATTTATATTCCTATTTTTTTATAAAAAAAAATCACTTGTTTTTTTGCTACATCATCAAAATAATTCAACAAATATCTTCGTTAGTATAAGTGACACTCATACATGTGATAACATTCTAAATGGTTACTAAACATTAAATCATTAATCTTTTTGAGTAGATTAAGTCAGATACTTACACATTGGGTGTTTTAAAAAATTAAAAGTTAATAATAAATTTTTTAAAATTTGAGCAGGGTCATGACCCCCCTAGGCCTCCTCCTAGTTCCATCTCTATTTGTAGTGACTGTTTTTATCATTTTTGTGGTACCTTGTGATCAATCCAAAAATATTAGAATCGATCGAAAAGTCCCACAAAAAGTGATAAAAATAATCACCACAAAAAAATAGTAAAAAGAACCCACAAAAATTATAAATTTGTTTGTTGTAAATTGACCCACAAAAATTATAAAAATATTCATTAAAATTATAAAATTTAGAAGTATAATACCGAATTATTTTTTCAATGTTGCAGTTTTCTCCATAAGGTAAGGGAAAGATGATACTAATTATCACTTTTACATCACATTATTAGGCTGACATAATTAAATTGTCTAATAATAAGATAATAAGTTGACAATTAGACTCGACACAATTAAATAACTACTCATTCAGTAATATCATAACTACCTCACGGATAGATGTGAGATAGAATTTGTCCATTTTATATTTTTTCATTGAATTATATATCATATAGCAGTAATGACGTGAGAGTCACTGTTATATTAGATATTTACTCAATATAGAGTTTATCAAAATTTTAAGATGAAAGTGAGTAAAACTAAATGCATTAGGAGTCAATCTTACAGATAAGGTGATAAACTAATAGACTATTTATACCCATTAAATTAATGGATTGATATCATTCAATTAATCACAACAAAATTCATTAAATACGATTTATACATGACATGTTTTTCCCTTTTGTATCACATAATTTTATAAAATAAAGGTAAATGTACAATTGAATGTGATACTTTTATAATAAAGTAGATTTTTTTGTTATTGATTTTAAAATTTTAGTACTATAGTTTTATCTAAATCAAATTGTAACTTTGTTAAATTGACTCAAATTATCACGTTTATTTTAAAATAACTTTTAATACGGTATTAACTTTGTGTTAGGTTAACTAGAAATGGATAATTTAAGTGGTAAACAGGGACAAGTTAGAAACGTAGATGACATAACTTTAAATTTTGACAATTTTTTGGGGTCAGGTCAAGAGGAATCTATCCATCATAAATACTTCAGTCTTGGTGTGGATGACCTGTTTAAACCGGATAAGAAGAAGATTAATTGAGATACGCATAAACTGACTCGAATACTTGGAAATATTGAAAAGAAAAACCTTGTTGAGTTGAATCCCCATAATAACAAAATAATTAGTGGACAACATAAATTCTCTCTCTTTCTTCTCACTCTCTCTCTCCATCCAGAGAAACACCTGGCAGCTGAATGCTAAATAGGCGACCCACTGTTGCAAAACATACAATAACCCAAACGGTGGAGAGATGATCATAAGACTTCAATAATTAATATTTCAGTGTAATAAGTTCAAGTCTCGTAAGAGATGTATGTTATGATTTGAGTGATCTGATGCAAATGGTATCTATTTAATAACGAGCATTCAAGTTTACATTATACCCGTGAGTTCAAAAAGTGTTTTGAACATTCTCGATTGTACAAGAAAAAAAAAATAGAGTAAATTTTATTCACATCTAGTGTAATTATTCATATATTCAATAACATCCTTTGAATCTTCTAAAATTTCATTGACACCTCCCATCCAATGTTATCCCGCTAACGACGTTAATGGAGGAGGTTATTTTACATAAATGTCCCTCTTGAATTTTTTTTTCCCAAAAATTACTTACATAAAAATGCACAAATTTTTTATTATATTTGAATTTGTCCATCCTATACTATTTTTCTATCATATTAATTGGTATAAATATTTAAATGACTATAAACTTTCGAACATGCTTCAAACACGTAATTGACATATTCAAATAAATTTTGGACTTATTGAGGTTATTTTATAATTTTTAGCAAAAATTATGAAGTTATTTTAATATTTAATAAAAGCTAGGATCATCATGAAAGAAATTATAGGGTTATTTTATAGGTCTACAACAGAATTAAGAGTCACATTTATTTAGATTTTAAAAAATCAAATAAAATTATGTTTAATTGATAAGATTATTCTTATTAGATCAAAATGAGCAATCGAAAGGGAAAGGAGTAGAAGTGATTAATGAGGGTGTGACTCTAGATTATTTTTGTAACCCTCTGGCAACTATTTCATGCCTTAGGGAGATGCAACTGACCTTTATTTGAAGTCCAAATAATCGATAACAATACAGCAATACTTTCTTAGCATTTTTTGACCAATTTAAAAATTATATTAATGAAGTCTACTCTAGCATTAAGTTTTCAAACCTAGAAAGGAGTAGTCTTGCGCAAAGAAATGGTTAAGACTAGACATAAAATATTTATTGACTTATTTACTTGTGATTTTATCATTAATTTTATCAGTTGCATCTATCACCGTAGAGAGAGCATTTTAAGATATAATAAATGTGAAAACTCAGTTGTATAACCTAATTCGTGATAAATAGGTAATTAATAATGTAAATTAATATAAAATAAAGATATTTTTAATGATACTAATAATTAAGTTAATATAAAACGCTTTTCAAAAATGTAGAAATGATCGAATTGCAGAGACCTTTGTTCTTTTTTCTACAACTAGTTATAGAGTTGTGATTGGTGGGCGGAGCAGTAATAAGTTTTGTGAACTAAAGGATATTTTCGCCATTTTGGAAGAATATTAAGTGTCAGAAACGACTGCTGACAAAAGGGGGCGTAAGTAATTTAAATGTAGAATCTAGAAGGGGATGTAGTAAAATTTCAAAAGATGCAAAACTACAGGAAGCGTGGACAGAAATCTTGTTCATTAGAATACGTGATACATTCCCCCAAAGGATTTCAGGCAAAGTCCAATGGCCCATACATACTCTTGGGCTTAAAATTTGTTTTAGGGTCATCTCTTGAAGCATTACAAATTGTGAATGTCAATTATGCTGCCTACCGCTCTTCAAACATTGCAATTAGCACACGAAAATCTGAAACCTCTCTCTCTCTCTCTCACACACACCCATGTCAAAATTGAAATAATTGGATGGATTGATAGTTTTCTGTGAAGGATGCCATTCTAGGCCCAGTCACCTTCCGGAGCAGAGGGATTCAAGTCACCTCCAATTCATTGCTCCTTAATTCCTTCAACGATAGATCACCCATCATAATCAACAGGCTTTAATTCAACGGTACTCCTTACTTTATAAAGATTTTATCTTCTTAAAATCAAGGGTTCAAGCCCCCCTCCCCCCCCCCCTCTCTCTCTCTCCCCCCCCCCCCAAAAAAAAAAAAAAGATAGATCACTCTCCATACATTTTTAATCGTATGCGAGACCCCTAGATACCACTCTACCACACTGACAAGCACAAGGAGCCTGCACACGACCATGTGTACAAAACAATGACACGGTAAACACATCATATAGGGTGACCAAGTACACAAGACTTCCAATACTATTCATATAGAGAGAATCAAATGTATACAACTTCCCCCAGCACGCGTAGAGTATGTTACCACAACAACTTACAAATCCAAAATCAAGTGAAAAACTGCCACACTGATTTAACTTCTTGCTCATCTTTCTCATACATGGCAATACAGTAGCACTTGACAAAGGAAGGGCTTGGGCTTGAGAAACAGCCGATGGGGAAAGCTCATTACAACTATGCCAATAATTTCTACGCAATTTGGAGCCAACCTCAATGGTGATCTGTAACAGTGTTACCAGAACTGTTGGTACCTGTTTCTACCCATGATCTGGGCGGTTCAACTCTGCAGTGGCAACTTGGATCGTCGAAATTGAGGACCACACCTTGAAATCCTAACCCCCAGATGGACCCTTACTGTTCCTAAACTATATAAGAAAATTATCAAAATTAATCAGCAGAATTCTTACACAGAGGCACCTATTGTACCCTCTAAAGAATATGTCACGGTATAGGCATCAATCACGGGTACGATCTAAGGACTACTAGCAAAGAAACTGCAAGAATATTTTTTTTCGATATAAGGAGGGCAAATGTTGAAAGATAATACACCAGCAGAAACTAGTTTTAAAATTGAAATTTTATAGAATTCAAAGCAAGCAACTTATGAGCCAACCACACACCTAAGTAGTGAGAAGCAGAATCATCTCACTGTTATTAATCACTTGAAACCAAGTGCAAACGACACCTTTGGCCGAGATTTGTTCTTGCCCAACAATTTCATCTGGTTCGCCCGTTCTTCCTCCTCTTGCTGTTTCTTCCTTCGCATAGCCTCTTCCTTCTGCCTTTGGAGCTCTTCCAATTCTCGGTAACGTTCTTCCTCCCTCCGTTGCTGCTCCAAAGATTCCCTTCTTTGAGCTTCTTCCACCTTCCTCTGGTTCTCTTCAAGAAGCCTTTCCAGCTTTTCTTTTTCTTTTCGAGCTTGCTCCTATCAAATACATAAATATGCAATGTCGGTGCCAGAGAAGATCAAGATTGTATTAACTAGAAACACATACAGCCTATCCACACAAAAGCAATAATTTCCGCAGAAGACACAAACCAATTATTAATCCAAAAAATGTGTTTGTACACACATATCAGAAGAATACTGGACACGGCATGTGGAAAAGTCAAAAAGATTTCCACCTCATAAGAGGTCCATAAAGCGATTAAAAGAAGTGGCAAAACAAAGGTAGAACTGGGAATAGACAGACCCAAGGACGGAGCTACTACCCTTTCAGGATTACATGTAGTTCAGATTTTCCTTACCCATTTTCCTCGTAGAGAAATAACTTACAAAAACCACTTACCTATTTCTCGTTTTAGAGATCCAAGCAATAACCAACCTCAGATGGTCGTGTAAATGCATATAGAATCCATTCATTCTGCCCTGTACTAGACAAGCAATAAAATGTCCAATTATAGCAGAAAAGTTCATGCAGCAAGCATCTAGAAAAGGTGCCAGCACGCCACATCCGAAACAGTTAATTTTGCTATTCATACTACTGAATATAATAAACAGAAATAAAGTGAACAGCTCTACAGCAGGAATTTGTTTAAAATACTTGCCTCTTTTAGTTTAGCCTCAACAAGAGCAGCTTCCTTCTCTTTCTCAAGTTGGGCTACAACCTCATCAAGAAGTTTCCTCCGACCTTCCTCTAGTCGCCTCTGTATCACCAGCTTAATCTCCTCAGAGTTCAAGCTCTCTTCAACTTTCTTCTGAATTGCTTCTTCCACTCTCTTTGCAGTTTCTTCTTCTATTAGTTTTAATTCTGCCTCCTGCTGACGCCTGTTAGGGAAAAAACCAAGTTAAACCAAAAATGACTGTTGATGTAGAGAAAAAACAGCATTTTATTTCCAAATTTCCTTGAAGCCAAAAAACAGTAAAAAGTTGAAACGGCATTTGACTTAGCAAAGCTCCTTTTTTCTTTCTCTCCTTAATGTATAACTAGAATGAACGACAAACTAACCTTCATGTCGACAAAGGCACTAAAATATATATGCTTATGCTTTTAAGGCATACCTCTAACCGATTCCTGATCCAAACATATGAATTTCAAAACGGGTCAACAGTAGATAAACGAGGCACCCAATTTGATCATCAAATATAACAAGTCGAAAGATAGCAGAAACTTCCGTCAAAAGGAGCCTGTAGAGAAGAATGTCAAGCAGTTTGTTGCATTTTAAAGCTGATCACCAAGATACTTCCAATCCTTACATTAAAAAATTGTTCCGACAAAGCAAATTTCTAGTTCTGGGCATATTACCTTTAGGCATAAAAAAACCATAATTAGATAGCCAACATTCCCCTGGTTGTCAAAATTTTAGCAAGATGATTATGGATTTTCACAATGAATGAGGGATATAAATGCATATTGGGACGGAGCCAGATTGGAAGTTAATTCATGCCTGCAACAAAGGGGCTGGTGGGTTCACCCCAATATGCAAAGCAGGGAATGTACACATATATACATACATACATATATACATACATATTAGCCGAGTGTACAAAGTTACCGCCATTGCGGGATATGAGAAGATTGTAAGGCACACAACCATAACCCAAGTGGATAAATATATTAAATACACCCAAACACAACCTAAAGAAATGTAATTACATTGACCAAGTCATCTCTTCTTTTGTTTTTTTGTCCGATGTTGGACTTTTGAAAACCATATCATCATCAACACAGATCTTGAACTACAAACAAAGTCTTTAGATGGTTGTACAGAGAGGTGGATCAAACGCGACCTCCATTGAAGTTGGGGCCTTACATAACTGGAGAAGGGCAGCCACCATTATGTAGCTCAATTGTAAACTTCTGACCGACTTATAAATTTTAAAACGGAAAAGAAAAGAAGGCAGATAAGCTTTGGCACTGATGAGGGAATAAGATTTCAAAAAACAAAGCATGTGCCTTAAAGAAGACAGTGGAATGATGAAGAAAAAAAGCTTGAGCCAACAAATTATAAACAAATGCAAACACCTGCCAAGACTTTTAGATAGATAACCAGATACTTTCATTCTACCATCTCCATAATTGGACCCAAAATGTTAGCTCAAAATGAAACTAACAGAATTATACCGAAATACAGGCATTTACACATATATGTGAGCATGCAAGTGTGTTGAGCTTGATTATCAATACATGTCAGCATGAGATTAGGGATAGTTTGGCCAGGAAAGGATATTTTTATTGGTAAGAAAATATCCCTTGTAGGGAAATTGTCCAAAGTTTAGGCCCAAAATGTGTTTGCTACACATAACCCATATCCACCTACTTGCCTGGTGCTTGAATGGCAACAAAGGGTGTTGTGCTAGAATGTAAATGTAAGATGGGAATAAATTCCAGTCCATTCCTTTTCCATTATTGTGCATGCACCATGCTTATTATTAACAATATAACATTAGTATCAGATGAAGAGAGTACAATGTGAGTCTAGAACAAGAATCTTCGAGCACAATATACACAATCAACATCCTAGAGTGCACAAAATATAATAAAGAAAGTTGGTTGGCACTACGACTTCACTAAAAATCAGATGAGTTCGATATAAACACGGGGCAAAGCCAGGTTAGGCCTAGGGTGGACACATGCCCACCCTGATTTCTTTTTTGCAAAATTTACCTACATATAATTTCAGAAATTTTTTAGTATATTTGAATTTGTCCACCCTTTATTATTTTTTTTAACATACCAATTGCTATAACTATCTAAATGAATATGAACTTCGAACATGCTTCGAAAATGTTACTAGCACATTCACATAAAATTTGGACAAATTAAGGTTATTTTGATCCTTTTATGTTTAGTTAATTTTTAAATATTAGAAAGTGTGTAAATAATTATATAATGCATCATCTTAATTTTATTGATGAGAATAAAAAAATCAAAACCTATTAAAGTGTCCACCCTAGGAAGATTTTTTGGCTCTGTCCCTAGATATGTACTCCCAAAATGAGTAAAATTTGGCAATGACATGGATAATATAGACAAGACCGTAGGCACTAAAGATGCAAATAAGAAATATGGAAGAAAAGAACATGGAGATAACCATGCAAAATGATGAATATACCTTTTCTTTTCCTCTTCTTCTTTTCTCAACTTTTCAGTGGCATCTTTGCGCTCTATTGACCCAATACTTGGACTGGGAGATTTAGATTTTCCTATAGGAGACAATGAGCTACTTGTACTTCTTTGTCTCTTATGACGCTTTGGGGTTGGAGAGCGACTTTTACGTCGTCTTGAAGTTGGAGAACGACTTTTGTGGCGCCGTGAGGATATTGAACGACTTCTTCGTCTGTATAATAACATAATAGTAACTGAGGAACCACCAATATCTCTGGCTCCATGAAGTATTCAGTATAACATCATACCAACCCACCCTCTAGCATAATTGACATAAAAGCATGTACAGTTACCTCATACATTGCTAAGAATAAACTGAGTGCTCCATCTTTTATCACAAGAAAGCGGTAATATCACAATCGAGCAACGAAAGGACACCCATCGGCACCCATCACCTGCTCACTTCCCATACTAAGGGAAGCAACTGCTTTGCTTAATTTTTCAAGTAAGAACAATGTACTCTATGTCACTCATTCTACAGTTCGAATTTTTCCTCCAAAAATATCCAATAGAAATCTCTCAAATTTTAAGTTGAAAGATTAAAAAAAAACCCTGAATCCAAATAGCCCAACAACAGCTTATGAATTAAGAAGCACAACCATCAGATATAGGAAAACACAGGCAATACTTGGACCAAGCACAACGGTCATCAACCATAGCCATGTAGTATCATAGTGTTGAGCAAAGTGAAAACTCTCAGCGCAGCAACATGGCACAAGCAATACCAAAAGTACACAACTTGAATACCTTTATCATCTGCTAAAACAGCTAAAGCAAAGCAGCGAACACAATGATCAATTACTACATAGAAAATAAACCAGATGACATCCTGTTGATTAAATTAAGTGTAATTGAGAAAGGATATATAGATATATAACCAACAATTTAGTATTCTATGGGGCAACAGTATAATAAAACAACAAAAAAAAAGTGTTACAAATCATCAAAAGAGAAATCACATACTTGGGGCCTATTTGGATGCCCCCTTGAAGTCAAATCAACAAAGGCTTATCCCAACTTGTTTGGGATCAACTACATCAATCATGTTACGTCTTAATTAATATTAAATCATAAACTATCATATTTTTAAAAAAATTCAATTAAAGTTTATTATGGTCATCCTCTACCCCTCCGATTAAGTATTAGCCCTTCTATAAATATGTCAAATCATGTAAGTTGATTCTCTTTTAAATTCTCTCTTATGTGTACTAGCTCTAACTCTAACCTTCATATTTCACAACACGCTTATCTTAACATTCTTATGTTTGCCACACTCAACTTTTGAACGTATTGTTTCTTAATTGCCCAACATTCAAGATGCCCCCTTCATTTCAACTTCCTCTATTTACTTTTGATCCAACATTTGAACATAGACACATAACAAGTTAAGCCAACCCCCAATCAGAACTTCCTCCAATGTCTTGGTATGTCATCATCATAGATTATCTTTATGAAAAGATCCATCAACTTTCTTGCTCATTCATTCAAGCCAAGAGACTCCTACATTGAAGTTCCATGTAAGGAGTGAATGGGCTTATCCAAATTCAAGGGAGGTCCACTACACCGGCAGTCAGAATTCTCTTTCAGTTTTCTTCGAAAACAAAGCACCATAGACATGACACATTCCCATCAGGAGAAAACATTACATTCATGCCAACAAAGAGGCCATCTCTTCCGGACAGGGCATCTGCATTAAGCTAACTTTTATGGTGATCTAACACAACTTTTCAAATTACCCCAGAAATAAAGAGCCACCAAATCACTCATTTTACTAGCCAATTGCTTGTGTGACCACAGAGTCTACCCATATTTTTGCTAAACCGTCGTAATAGCCAATCTGGACTTTGAGAACACTGGTTTTTTTGGGGCGGTTTTGGGTGGTCGGGGCGATCAATCGTAGATTGGCAACAAACAATCAAAATGTTAACAATATAGCCTGATCAAATCGTAATTTGATTTAGCCAGAGATATGTGAGTCGCCAGCTTGAAAACAATATTAGATAAAATATGCAGAGGTATAAAGTAATCAGGTATCACCTGCTGTAAGAATAAGGAGATCGGCTTCTATCTCTCCGGCTTCTTCTCCTACTGTAACCGTTCCTGTGTCCCACCGGCGACGGCGACCGCGAATACCTCCGTCGGTGCGACGGTGACCGAGACCTCGACAAATCCCTATCCCTCCGACCCATAATTGATTACACACACCAACAAATATCACCTACAAAATTAGAACTACAATCACAAATCAGTATCTGATCAAAAAAAAAAAAATCACAAATCAGTAGAATAACAAAATTAGGGTCCGTTTCATTATCAAATCATTGAGGCCGAATTATAAGCAATTTTTGTCCTATTTCTCCACAGCAAAGTAGGGAAAATATTGCAAAACCTAACCTGTCACAGTAGTTTGAGAGATCTGAACATGGGAAGAGCGAGAGAGAAGATTAAGAATTAGTAGAAGTAATACGAGAGAGAGAGAGAGAGAGAGAGAGAGAGATTTTGGACTATTTGACGAAGGATTCGAAGGTCTAATGGGTATTGAAGGAGCTGGTGTACAAAAGCGGCGAGAGACCCAGATGAGATTGGAGTTTGCTCATGGTATGTTAACAACGATCATGAGTTTAATTATTAGGAGTAAATCCCATTTCATCCCCGAAAGATATAAAAATTTTAGGGTTAATCTCATTTTATACCCTAAAAATTGTTTAAATCTCAATTTATACCTCCAAAGATCAAAATTTGAATTTATACCCTCAAAGATAGAAATTTGTATCAATGTGCATCTCCAAAGATAAAAAATCTCAATTTGCACCCTAAAAGATAGAAATTTGTATCAATGTGCACCTAAAATTAAATTGATAAATTATACCTAGATTCCCTCATGTTTGTCATTTAATCATTTGAACAACTTCACATTTAGAATATTCCCTTACATCTCATGACGTTTGTGTATGTGTAACACATAACTATTTTTCGTTGATATCTGTTTAATATAATCATTAAAAAATATGATTTTATCCTAATAAAAATTATAATTTCATATTACATTTTATTTTGTGGATTCGATATACTCTAAAGTTAAAAATCAAGCTTACCATTTGAATGTCTAATAAAATGTAGATATTTATATAAAATGTAATATGAAAAATATTATATAAATATTTACATTTTATTAGACATTCAAATGGTAAACTAGATTTTGAACTTTAGAATATATTAAACCCATAAAATAAAGGGTAATATGAAATTATAATTTTTTGTTAGGATAAAATTATATTTTTTAACGGTTATATTAATAGATATCAATGAAAATGGGTTACGTGTTATACGTGCACAAATGTCATAAGATGTAAGAGTAATATTCTAAATATGAAGAGGTCTAAATGATTAAGTGACAAGTATGAGGGGATGTAGGTATAATTTATCAATTTAATTTTTTGGTGCACAAATTTCTATCTTTTGAGGGTGCAAATTGAGATTTTTTATCTTTGGGATGCACATTGATATAAATTTCTATCTTTGAGGGTGCAAATTAAAATTTTTGATCTTTGGGGGTGCACATTGATACAAATTTCTATCTTTGAGGGTGTTAATTGAGATTTTTGATCTTTGAGGGCACAAATTAGATTCGAACAATCTTTCGGGGTACAAAATGAGATTAACCCAAAATTTTAATTTGTCTCTTAAATAATTAATTTTTTAATATTATCTCTTCAAAAAAATAAAATTATTGTAATGTAATTCTTCTATCTTATTTTTATTTTATCGTACTCTGTTTTGTAATTCCTGATTGATTAATTTGACACAAAACAAACAAATAATCAAACTAAAATAAGACGATAGACCACATTATAATATTTTTATTTTTTTGAGGAGACAATATAAAAAAAATTAATAATTGAGAGACAAACTAAAATTTTTTATATATTTTAGGACGCAAAATAATTTTTTTGCTAATTATATCATGGAAGAATTATATTCAGACCTTCTGAGATTTGTCATTTAATCACTCAGACTCCATGACATTTAAAATATTACATACAAACCCTTTAAAGTTTGTACGCTTGTAACAATTAGGCTCTACTGCAAAATATATCTGTTAATAAATTATACTTAAACCCTTGAAATTATAGATATATAATATTTAGACCATTTAAGTTTAAATATTATACTTATACCAAAAATATTCTAATCAAAGATAAATTATTAAATATTTTAAATTTTATAACTAAAATTCATATTTTATTGTATCATTTATTAAAATAAAAATTAAATTAATTTTTTTTAAAAAAAAATCATAATTAATATACAATATTACAATCTATTAGAATAAAACTAAAAAATCAAAGCGTCTGAGGGAATCTCCAAGAGGCTAGGGAAATCCTTTCCATTAGTTATTTTAGGTAGTTTTCTGTCAAAATATGGCTCCAACAGACATTTGGCTGTCTATTTCCCGTTGCCCCTTTTTCGCTCGATAACTCTAGCTAGCCCGCGTCTCCCTCGCGCGCCTCTCTCTGCATCTCCTTGGATTGACCACAAAACTTCTTCAGATTTGCTCCCTCGCGCGCCTCGCAGACCATCGTTTTGCTCAGACTTCGATTTGCTGCTCAGACCATTGATTTGCTTCAAAGCTTCGGGTTTGCTACATCGATTTGCTGCTTCAGGTACGTATTCTTTCGGTTTGGGTACATCAAATTTGCTGCTCAGACCATCGATTTGGGTTTGGGTATTTAAAGCGAAGAAAATCAGATTATCAAACCTGGGTTTGGAATCTCTCTGCAGAGAAAGTGTGGGAGAAAATGGTGATGATAACACAAGATATGATCAAACAGTTCAGCTCATTGATGGAAGAAAGTCAGCTGCTTTAAACCCATTTCACAATTCTAGGATTTTTGTTTCTTTTTGCTTTTGGAATTTAACCCCTTCTAACCCAAAAAATTCTAAAGCAGATATATAGCTTGAAATGGGTGTCGAAAGAGAGAGATTAATTTACCGTCTCCGCCTGCAAACACCACCGTCTTCGAGAGGAAGCTCTAGGATGATGGTAACAGAGAAAAAATGATGGTGCTGCAGGTTGTATAGACTTCAACAATGGCCGCTGTGTATTCTCTTTAATCTAGTGACTTTCCTTTTTCTTTTTCTTTTTCTTTCTCCTCCGTTTTCTTCAGAAAAATTGGGAAAATGCTCCAAGACAAGTTTGAGTGGTTGTGGTTTTTTGAGGCCTCTAACTAAATGTTGGTGCTGACAGGAGGGTGGGGGTGGTGGCCGTTCCAACTTCCAACGGCCACTCTGTATTGATGTTAGAATTTACCTGGATTCTGTAATGTGATGTTCATTGTCTGAATGGCTGAAGCCTTTAGATTTCTATTAAGACCATAAGAGTCCTAAATTTTCAACATAATTTCAAAATAAAATCCTAATTGGAGTAGTTCAAATTGTTTTGTTCCTTTTGGTATGATATTGAATTGGGTTTTGTTTGAGAGATCTCATTGTGTAATTGAGTTTTGTTTGAGAGATCTCATTGTTTAATTGGAGTAGTTCAAATTGTTTTGTTTTTTTGGTATGATATTGAATTGGGTTTTATTGAATTGCCTTTGAATTGCATTGGATTTTATTGAAAGTTAGTTGAAGTGGTTAGTTAAACTAAATAGTGTTGTTGGAGTGAGTATGAAAAAGTAGTTATATAATATAATATTTAAATTTATTTTGAGTAATTATTTTAGATAGCATTGTTGGAGATGCTCTAAGTCATTTATAATAGAACATGAATTTTACATCCAAAATTCAAGTTCTATTATGTCATTTATTGAAATAAAATCAAAAATAAAAATCTATTTTTTTTAAAAAAAATCATAGTTAGTATATGGTTATACTATCTATTAGAATAAAATTAAAAAATTAAACAATGAGTCAATCTGTAATAGACACAATATCTGTTAGCTTTAATTGGGGTAGTTTAATATTTTTATTTGATCGTTTAAATGACCAAATTAAATTCTAATAGACAATATAATTGTATATTAATTACTTTTTTTTAAGAAAAATTGGATTTTTATTTTGATTTTATTTCAATAATTGATACAACAGAACATGAATTTTGGTTGTAAAATTTAAAATATTTAATATTTTATCTTTTATTGGAGTATTTTTATTTTAAATATAATATTTTAAACTTAAAGAGTCTAAATATTATATACTTACAAACTTCAGAGGGTCTAAATATAATTTATTACTAATGAGCCTTTGGTCCAATGGTACTCCTTGTCTTGTGAAGGTTTTGTCTTCTTAAGGTCAAGCGTTTAAGTCCCCTTTCCCCCCCAAAAAAAGAAAAAATAAATAAAAATAAAAATAATTTATTAATTGATATATTTTCAACAAAGGTCTAAGTGTTACACGTATATAAATATTAAGGGGTCTGTGTGTAATATTTTAAATGTCAGGGGTCTGAATGATTAAATGACGAACCTCAAGGGTCTAGGTGTAATTCTCCCTTGTATCAAAGGAGAGGTTTTTTTTTTTAATTTTTCCCTCACCTTATAAATCTCCATTCTTACCCCCATTAAATTATCTAATATCAAACTATTAAATTCATTATTTCATACCGTTTTATTTCCACCCCCATTGTATGTTCATCCCCATTAGTGCTTAAGTTCACTTAATTTTTTCCCACACTATCAGCAAAATTCATTAAAAATATTATGAGTTTTATTTGAATTTATGGTGAGCAGGTTTAGACCACTTCTAGTACATAAGCGTGAGATTTTGTGACATTAGAAGATAGTGGTGGCGATGGACGTGATGGTCATGTTGATGGTGAGGTGGTTGTGGTGAGCCAATGGTCATGGTTGAGATGGTGCAGACGTGGTGGTGGTTGAGCGCGGTAGTGTTGTGGTATTGTCAATTGTATACTTGATTATTTAAGGATTAACAGATGTTTAGTTAAATTACCAACGAGTTGGATATATAATAAAGTGAACACTCCTCTCCTGTTTTTATGCCCTCTCCCTTCTTTAGGTGTAACCATGATGTCATGACACCATTGATACGTGATACCATTGACCTATGTAAACTAAATAAACCCCACTATGCTAGCATGAAGGTTATTGAATGGAGTGAATATGAATAGTTATTGGAATAGTAGGATCGTTTAGTTTACTTGATATTTCAAAATTGGTTAATGATATCACATAACAGTAATTATATCACTGTTACATTAAATATTTTCTCCTCCTTTAGAACCCAAAAATCTCAAAACTAAAACCACATCATAATCTCAATTTTGTTTTTTTAGCTAAAAAATATTTATACCGACCACCGTAACTTATATTAGGTTAAAACATGCTCATAAACAAACAATAGTGACTAATACCTAAAGGGTGTAAAAAAAAATTGAACCTAAAACTTCTGGGTTACCAAGATCAGACTTGACCATTGAACCACCCCCGAAGGTTCACCAAAATACTAGTTGCATCAAAGCCACCATTACCTATACGGCCATACCCACATAAATCCTAGTCGCATCAAATGAGCCATGGAAGCATGCATTAATCAATGGGCAGCCTAATATCAATGAAAGCATAGTGGGAAGCCTCCATAGACTAGCACTGGTCCGAGTCTCGCGCACTGAACTTCAATTTGTGTGCTTTCCATATGCTGCAAAGAGAAATCGAAGACTAGCAGCATCACAGAGAAGTTGCACATGACCCCAAGTAAGGCATCCCAATAGTTCAATTGGAGAAACAGTTGGCATCAACTTGATAATTGTTACACATCAAAGATGCACAAACAACAGTCCCCGTCTAGATAGATTCTTTACAGACTCAAAAACAAGTAGGAACGACTCGAGCCGTATCTCAATGTTTAGCAATGGATAGTCACTTTAGAAATATATTCACCATCACATTGGCTCCCGACTCTGAACATCAAATACACATAGACAAAAGAAGTTCCTCGGCCATTTAAATCCATTTCACATTGTCAAAACGTTGGTTTTAAAAGATTGTTCAAGCAATATGACTATGAAAATTCGGGCATGTAGCAATCATAGAGTATCAAACCTAAGATTGACAAAGCCACGAATTGGGATGACAGCTGCTCACCAAAACAAATAGCGTAACATGGCAGAAGATTGCAAGTGTACATGAATCAACAAGCCTTTCAAGTTATAGAAATACAACATTCTCGAGCAGCTTCGATACATCATGCTGGCTGTTTAATTTTGCAACATCTATAGGTGTCTTCCCATCCATGTTCTGAAGTGTGCTGCAACAAGAAAAGGGAAAAATCAGAGGAAAAAGAAAGAAGAAGAATGAGTTCAACTAAAACCTGCAAGCGGCAGACATTTGTTGAACAAACATATGTTGGCTTACACAGCGGCAGCATTATCCAGTAGAAGTTTTACACACTCCTTCTTGCCATAGCCAGATGCGTAATGAAGAGCGGTGTTGTTGTTGTTATCCAAAGCATTCACCCTTGCTCCAGCCTCAAGTAGGACCCGAGCACAGGTGACCTTGAATTGAGTAAAGGCATCTAGTTAGCTCCTAACAAAGAAGCTAGAAGACTAGGAGAACTGCTGCTAAGTATAAATTTGAACATTATGCTGCTTAGCCTATATTGATTAAAATATGAAAATAAAACCGATGATGCTGTATAGACAAACGAAAATGCACGTTTGTTCTTTGTCCACAATGGCTACAAATGCCAAGAATAAAGCTAGTTGACCTACTAGTTAGGATTATTAACATCTCTCCTTAAAGTCCCATCTAGGATAGAAAAGAACAGCATTTATAGAATTTGCTCGTTGTCTTTTCTTTTCTAAAATAAAATACCAAATTGGGAATAGGACAACAGAAAATGGAAGCCCGCTGAAACTGATAACCAAAAAGTTGGGAAGGCAACACTGAGACAAATTGAACAGATACCTTGCTGACAACTTCATGGTTAGCATACCCGCATGGGTAACCTGAGTGGTGGAGAGTTAGCTTGGAGACGAACCACAAACCCAGACAGGCTAGGTTCAACTCTCAATGGCAACTCCCAGATTTAGACAATATCTGTGGTTAGTGGGTGATTGCAGGTTATCCGTTGTAAGAACGAGTCTCGTGTGGCCTTGGATAAGTGCCTCATCGTTAAAAAAAACGTTATGGATAGTATATCAGAAGAATAATTTGGGTATGTTTGTGCTTGTCTTCTCAACTCCAAAAAACAATATTAGCACGGATTGTGAAGTGGGTGAAAGACATAAATAGAGATTAAGACAACTAGGTTATTATAACCCAAGGCCCAACAAGCCAAAAGGAGAGCTCCAAAACTAGCTTACACATGGTAAGTACAGCATAACCTTATGGAAAGGAATTTTATAAAATAATTAAAAGAAGAAAAAAAAAAGTAGCAGAAAACAACGAAGAAAAAAGAGGAAAGAAAGAAAAATATGAGGTACTTCAGGGAGCAGATCGAGGTCCATAAATACTCCTCACATGGACTCCAAGGATGATGGTTTTAAAAGTAAGCAAGCTCAAAGATAATAAATACTCCTCACATAGGACTTGTGAAATTCAAATATTATAGTGTAAAAAGTTTGTCAGCTCCGAAATAATGTGTTCATCCAATTGTCAGACTAAATCCTTCAGCAATGAATACCAAAGCAAATCATATATCCTGGGGGAGGAAAGATCACGGTTTTAAAACAGGGTTCATTTCAGGTGACAACCATACCTCGCCATATCCACATGCCAAATGCAATGCTGTCCTTCCCTCTGAATCCGCCTCATCTTTATCAGCACCAGCGGCTAGGGCCTTCTTCAAACCCTATTGATTAGACAGGCGAAAATTTTCATTAGTTATCACATATCTTTTTTTATACAACAATTACCACGTATGTCCACCCCAAACATCGGAATTGGTCGTCTTTCTTTCTTTGTTTGGCAATGCAGCTCTACATCAAGAGTTAATTGACAAAAGAAGTTGGATCATTGATTCAACACGCTCGCTCTCTTGCAAATCCTACTTTGATTCCATGGTTGATGACATCACTCTCCCAATATTTTATTCATCTTTGAAGATATGGAAGGCTAAGGGGCTTTCGAAAGTGCAAGTTTGTGCATGGGTTATTGCTCATGGGAAGATCGTGGGAATGTGAACCAATTATTTTTGCATTTTCCAATATTTATGGAATAAGTTGTTTGAATTGGCGGGGTATTCTTGGGTGACTCCAAGTACAATATCAACAATGTTGTGCGTGGATTACAAAGAATTTGGAATGAAAAGTAAAGGAGTCATTCTTTGGGAATGTGCATTTTTTTTGCCATTATTTGAGTGATTTGGTTGGAAAAAAATTCAAGAATTTTTTAGGACAAGTATGAGGTAGTTGAAGGACAATGGAACCGAATTCACTTTTTAGCAACTTTTTGGACATTGGTTTCATAGGAGTTTGCAAATACCTCTTTTTGGAATTTTGGCGAGAATTGGAAGGTAGGCTATGATTGATTAGTTTGCTATCTTCTGTTTTTTATCTTTCCTATGTAGTGCTTTTTGATGGATTTTATTTTGGATGGACAACTTGTCCATCCTCAAGTTCATTTTATACCACATTATTTATTTTTAATAAAATTGTGTTTCCTATCAAAAATGAACACTATGTATGTGAAACAAGCTAACTAAAGACCAACAGAAAAAGACTACAGTAGGAGAGTTACAGCATTCAGCAAGGAATTCCAGGGGACAAATCTTAAGCATTTACCATCCATTGTTCCCCCCCAGCATCAGTTGCCTTACCCTACTCAGTGTAACATATGAACATGACACACCCACAGCTTCAAAGTAACATTGAAGGTAAATATTTCCAAATATATCTACTTCTATGATCTAGTTAGAAATTAACTCACCAAAGAGGTCATGTTTTTGATTTACTTATAACCACATGACACCAAAAGGCTGTGCTTATAATATCCAAATGCATCTTTTTCTAACAAGATTATTTTGACCACATTTAATTCTAAAGCAGGTACTTCCCAAGACAATTTAAAATTTCAAATTACAAGAAGACTACTATGAAGAAGAGCAGCAAACATTTGGAGCACACAGATAATAGCTTCTGGTGCCCATCATAGCAATGTAAATGAAAAAAATGCCTGTGATGTGTTTATCATTACTGTTATCATCCTCTTCATAGAGATCAGAATATGATGATACATTTTGAAGAAAACAAGGCCAACAAATTAATAGCACCTAGGAGCAGTATTACAACAAATCGTGATCAATGTACCTCGACATCACCAACACTAGCAGTGTGACGAACAATGGATTCATCCTCATTCCCTTCTTCTGTTTCATCTGGCCCAGACGTTTCAGCAAAAGTGGCAGCATCTCCTTCAGCAGCAAGACCCATTGCTTCACCCAACTTCTGCAGAACCTCTTTATCATTCCAGTACCTAAACCAAAATTAATTTTAAAAATACCGTATTGAGAAAGTCTGTAATACGTATTCAATTGATTGTTTTAATAAAACTTCTTTTTAAAACTATACACAAATTTCTATATTATGCATCTGGAAATTCAAATGGAATTTCGAAATAATTACAGCATAATCCATAGCACTACAATCTCAGAACTAATAAAAAAGGAATACTTTGCACAGATTTAGGATGGTCCACATTATAAATCACTCCAAATCACTCCATGTACCCAACTCTCAAACAATACCAATAAACTTCAACATCTACTAGTGAGAACCACCTCTTTGATATTGTAGGAACAGAAGCAAGGATCACCATGTGATTCCCAATTTTCCCTCTATTCTCTGATTTTTTTTTCGTTTCTATTTCTTCTCCATTCATAGCGAACGTTACACACGGTTTTTTAATTGACACAACACACACATCATGAGACACATGCACATGTCCATTGTTTTTTGGTTTTTTTTTTTTATAGGAAACATAATTTCTTGTATTAAAAATCAGAAATACATCAAGAATGTTAGATAAGGAATCCAAATACGAAAGCAGTGAAAAGAAAAGAGAAAAATTACAAAGGAAATACATAAAAAGCCTATAAATCACATGAAGCTTTCCATCCAAATAGTAAAGCAAAAAGTAGACTCCTCTCAACTTCTTTGAAACCGAAGCCCATAGCCCAAAAAGACAATAAGAAATGAATCTAGTCCTATAAACCATTCAGACAATCGCACCAGTCTTCAAAAATTCATGTGTTTCTCTACCTCCGTATAACCCAAAAAAGTTGCAATTACAACACAATTCCATAGAGTAACACCCTTAAGAGACCCTAAGCCTTTCAAATCTTTAACAAGCAAAGATATGGAAGATTTGAGATGCACCCAACTCAAGCCCACCAAGTTAAACAACTTATGCCACAAATACAAAGCAATAGGACAATGTAAAAACAAATGTTCAATGCATTCGTAACCACTTTTGCACATTAAACACCACTAAGGGGAGAGACAAGTTGTTGGCCTCCTTTTCAAAAGCACATCGTTAATATTAATTTTACCATGTGCAACAGTCCATGCAAAAACTTTCACTCTAATAGGCACTCTTACTTTCCAAATCACTAATAGCTTGAATAAATGGAGGACATGATGAATGGACAACCAAAAAACTTCCCCTCTTGAGATATGAATTTCCATTGGCTTGTAAACCATATTTGGCTCTTAATAACTAAATGCCTTTTGAGAATTTTGTTCCAAGTGAAACCTACAAAGCCACTTGCTCACTAAAGCAATATTTCTAGCCTTCAAATTACCATTCGAAAGACCACCTTTATCCCCTGGTCTAAACACCACCTCCTAACTCATCAAATGCTCCTTCCTTCCCTAGCCACTTCCCTCCCACAAAAAACATTTCTCATCATTTTTTTAATCTTCCAGACTATCTTTCCGGGCATCTTAAACAAAGATAAAAAGTATGTTGGAAGACTATCTGCAAGAGAGTTAATCTACCCCCTTTAGATATGTATGCTCTCTTTTAACCCTCTAATCTTTTCCCCACTCTTTCCACCACCAATTCCCAAAAAAAATAATGACAATAAATTCTCACCCAAAGATAAACCTAAATACTTCAAAGGTCACTCCCCAACTTTACACCCCAAAAATCCTGCTACTTACCTATTTTTTCACGGTGTGAATTAATACTCACAAATAAACTTTTATCCATAGTAACCTTTAACTCCGAAACCATGCCAAAGACCTCCACAATATTCATAGTATTTTAGATTTTCTTCTCATCTCCCATAGAAAAGAATATGGTATAATCGGCATGCTGAAAATGAGAAACCATAATTCTATCCTTATCCACACAAATCCTCTAAAGATTACAACTTTCAGCCCTACTCAACCCATCCGCCATCAAACTAAAGAGAGAAGGCAATTAAGGATCACCCTGTCTTAATCCTTCAGATGTTTTAAATTTACCTCTACTCAAGGATCAAAATTTCGTTTCGAACTACCGTTTCGGTCAACTCAAAAATAGAAACGTTTCGGAAACATTTCGGAAACGCAATGGAAACGTTTCAAAAAATATAGAAACGCATAGAAACACAAATACAATCCATTAATTTATAAAAATATGCTAAATAATTGATTAATTCAATATATTTATTAGGTTAACATCAATTTATACAAGAATAAATTTAAATTTGAGGGAAAAGAAGGCTTGACATGAGGCGAAAGTCACTTAAATTAGTTTCAAACACTTAATTTTTATGAAATAAACACATTTTTATATAATATTAAGGTCTTATAATACACATGAAATGCTAATGAGTACATACTTACATGGTTACATCCATCCCCCTGTGGAGTGTCGAGCAGGCTCATACATCGGTGTAAACTCTGGATAGTTACTTAGAGAAACTCTATATGTGACATAAATATGATGACAATAGTTACTCCAAATCATATTATTACGGTAATATTATCCAATTAATAATACTATTTTATTATAATACTAATAATGAAGGGTATCAAATTAAATTAATGATACTCATGTATACTTAAAAATTAAATGTAATTGCAGTGGGTATTAAATGTAATTACAGTAGGTATTAAATATAATTACATTAGGGTATTAAATGTAATTGTTAATACTTATAACAAAAAAAAAAGCAAAAAACTTGCACAGCAGTAAGGTATTAAATATAATTACAGTAGGTATTAAATATAATTATAATGGGTATTAAATATAATTATAGTAGGGTATTAAGTTTAATTATTTATTCTTATAACAAAAAAATTATAAAAGACAGAAGAGCAGTGGGAATTAAATGTAATTATAGTAGGATATTAAATATAATTATAGTAAGTATTAAATGTAATTACAGTGGGTATTAAATGTAATTATAATGGGGTATTAAATGTAATTATTCATAATAAACCGAATATATCACTGTTTTGTCGAAACGGTCCGAAACAATGCCGTTTCGACCAAAACGGTCCGAAACAGTACCGTTTCAACCAAAACACTGGAATTTTGTGATTCAACTACTGTTTCGTTTCGGAGTGTTGAAATTCCGAAACGTTTCGGACGTTTCGGATGTGTCGACACGACATTTTGATCCTTGCCTCTACTTCCCATTGATCATAACGGAGAAGTTCGCAAAATTCAAGCATCCTTGCATCCAATTCCTCCAACGATCTTCATATCCATTCACCTTTTCAAGACAAAATCCAAAAAATCCCAATACACAAAATAATAAGCCTTCTTAAAATCAATTTTACACACAAAACCTTCTTTACCCCTAACCCTATACTCCACCACCACCTCGTTAGCCACAAGAGCAACATTAAATATTTCTCTACCTCTCACAAAAGCCTTTTGACACTCACCAATAGACTCACTAAGAGTCTCCCTTCATCTCAAACATAGAACATTTGTAATGATCTTACAAAAACTAGATACTAAACTGATTGGCCTAAAATCGATCGACCTAAATTCTCACATGCTCATGGATTTTTCGTTTTTGGGAATCAAGCAAATGAAAGTGGAATTGGTAATTGCACTAACAACTCCATTTTTGGAAAAATTCATTGAAAACCTTCGATAGCTCCACTTTGACAACCTACCAACAATTCTGATAAATAGTCATAACAAATCCATCAGAACCGAGAACCTTGTCTCTACCACACTCAAAAATGGACTCTCTCACTTCCTCCTCTTCAAAAGGTCTTTCCAACTATCTAGCCTTACCCTCGTCAATAGAGCTCCACTCTAAACCTTCCACCCTCGGTATAACACTCTGCCTGAAATGAATACAAGTGTGTAAAATATTCTACAATCCTGATCTCAATCATCTCCTTCTCAATAATTTCTCCGTGTTTCAATTCTAGCTTGTCAATAAACTTCTTCGTTTTCCTACCATTTGCCACTCTATGAAAAAACTTTAAATTATTATTCCCTTGTTTTACCCGATTCATCTTTACCTTTTGTCTCCAACTTATTGATTTCTTGAAAATCATATCCTCAAACCTATTTCTTAACTCCCATCTCTCGATTCTCAAATTCTCATTAATTTCATCATTCTCTTCCACTTTATAAATCCTTCCAACTCTATCCATGATTTGACTTTTTATGATTCTTATATCTCCATACACTTATGTATTACATATTTTCACCTTATTTTTCACATACTCTAATTTCTTCATGACTCTAAAGCCTTCCCATTCCTAAAAAAAATCTTCTCCCTCACTATGCCCTAAAATGTATTTTAAATGCATGGTGTTCTAACCACATATTCTCAAATCTAAAAGGACAAGGACCCCACTTAATCTTAGTTGAATCTAAAACAATAGGACAATGATCAGATACAACTGTCAAAAGAATCTCTTGTCTCATTCCTGAATAACAATCCTCCCACTCAACAAAAAAGAAAAATCTATCAAGTCTATTACAAGCTAAATTTTCTTCAAATTTGACCAAGTAAAAGTACCATTACCAAGCGGAGGGTCCATATGCTTAATCCTCACCAATATAGAAAACTCACCCTCTACAGACTCCTCTACTTTAAAAACTCTTTCATCCCACATAATCACAATACCATCCGATCTATCAACTGAAGACAAAAAAAAAAAATTGCATCTAGAACCCCACACCCTTTTAATCAATTTCCTTTTAATTGTCTCTTTTTTCGTTTCTTGCAAAGTTACTACATCTGCCACTTTTTTATGCAACAACTCCTTTATTGAACATTTTTACCTCTTAGAACCAAGACCTCTTACATTCTAACTAATAATCTTTATAACAAACTCGTTTTCCCCTCACTACTCTTCTTGGACAAAATACAACCATAATTAACCCCTTATTCTAGATTTTTTAGTTCCCTCACTCCCTCATTTTTCCTCGCTGATGTTCCTTCACTCTTTTTCTTTCCTTTTCTTTT